TTTGTAGGTTTGTAAATTTTCTTGTTGCTTGTCGTTGAAGAGGTAGAGGTATCGATATCAAGTCTGTGGGTTATGCATCTTCGAAGTTTAACAGAGTTGGATAGACACAACGTTGTTATCTTTCACATGTCTCTATATAACTTTTTATTTTGACAATAGTTGTTCTTGAGCATAGTTGTTTAAGGAAGGGTCTATGACTCTATATGGTCATATATCGTCGTATATCTGCTGGCTATGGCTGTCCTAAATGAAAACAAAATGTAAAGAAAATTTTTCAGATAAGGTCTTGCAACACCTTGAGATTCACTGAAAATCTTGAAATTTGTGTTCTCGATGATTTGAGTTCTCGTGTGCAGCCAGCTGCAGCGGACGCTGTCAGCTGATTTTTTCATGATTGGGCAACCTTGAAAACAGAATGTTTTGGCAATAAATTATTGAGAGAAATTAATTTCACGGTGCGTTGCATCAATTACAAAAGGCAGTTTTTTGACGACAGGTGGCGACCGAAACAATGACCACCGGCAATGCACTTATGCTATCTCGCGAACAAATCACGATAAAAGGCTCGTTTTTTTATTGAGTGTGAACAAGAACCAGGACTTTAAATTAAACATTTTTTAAGAGAGTCCGTGCTATACAAAACAGATTATTTATTTTTTCCGACTGGGACAAGAACGGTACAATGGCTATACGTTTCACTCATGTATATACCACTTTCAACCTTTTTTGGTCTCGGTCCCGTAAAAGCTTAATAAAGTCACATTTTGGTAGCGAAAAGTAGAAAAATTAATTTTTCTAAAATACTTTTACAATCCCGTCTAGGTGTGGGTTTCGCAGTCCCCTAGTACTTTCTTAATTTTATTTTTACAGAAATCATCTCAAAACGCTTTACACTATTTCAACGTTGATACTTGGGAATCTATTAGACGATGTTTGAGGAGAAAATGAAAGGATTTTCCTACAAATGGAGTTGTAACTTTTTTAAACTTACTTCACAGTGCGATATAAAATAATAAAGAATTGAAACAATAAAAGTTATTTTCATTAACTTACTTAAATTTAATTAAATTATATTAATTAAATGTATAACACTGACTCGTTCATACTCGGTTGCGTCAAAACTATGGTTACTATTTATATTATTATATTTCAGAAATGAAATAAGCCTTACGTGGAAAAAAGAATGGAAGAAGAGGGTAATGAAGATAACAATAAGACGTTTCTAATAACACATTTAATAATAATAACATGATACAGGTAAAAATTGCTTGTGTTGTTTTCGATAATTTTATTTTGTTAACTATACTTTAATGAATAATATTTCCTACTATTTTCTGTTACTTCTTTCTTTATCTTTGTATCAAATAAAGTTTAGAACATAGCTTCTCAAAAAATTCAACTGGAAATAGTTTGTGACATTATTAAGCGGACAAATATTTCTGTATGTTTGAGCATAAAGATCAACTAAGTTATAGTAGATTTTACGTCTTTTGAGCATTCATATATGGTGGTGGTGGTACTGTTAATGGTTGAGGAACGATTGTCGGTATTACAGATTGGTGTGGTTCGTGTGGCACAGAGTACGTACCGGGAACAGGGTGTTGTTGTTGGTATTGGTGCGGTGGCATAAAAACAGGACCAGACATTGGTTGAACGAATACTGTGTGTTGTACTGCTGGACCTGTGGAAAGAAAAGCGAAAAAATTTCATGTCTTCATCGTGTATGAGAAGATTAACCTCTTGTTTTCAGCTCTCTTGCTTCTTGACACATTGCACACTCTGCACACCACATCGTAACACAACAATCACTGCAAGCTTCTTGAATACCATATTTCTGTCGTAATTGACGGCGATTACCCATGTGAACCAGACAACATAAACCACACGAAGTCACCAAACCATATATGCAACATTGACCACAACAACTACTACCATTAATTTGTTCTGCATTATCGCCGTATAAGCAGCATGGACAAAATAAACCATAACAACAAATACCGATATCACTAAAACAACCACACAGGGATTCTAAAAATAGAAATGAAAAAAATACATCGTTGAGATGGGTCGAAAATTGGAATCAACTATCGGTCTAAGTTTTTCGTTATAGTGTTAATGATCTATATTACATTCATATTACATTCATCGACTTTTTGCAGTTCTATAAGATATGGAAACCTAGCTTCAACAGCAAATTAAGAGATTTTATCGCAGAAAAAAGATCAGGACTAGGAAATGATCGACAGTTGATGCTAACGCCGAGTATTGTTAACCTCGTAACAGCAAAGCGAACATATCTACCGGTGTGTGCTGAAGAATGGAATAATAACAGCATGAAAGACTTACGAGCAATTAATGCCTTTAAAAACTTTAAGCAGGAGTTGTTTCAAAAATATGCTCTTATGTATTTCAAAAGATCCACCGCTTCGAGAAGAGTAGAAAAAATTTCGTCCACTCTGCTACTCTTTTTCCGCCTATTAATACAGCACTATTTAAAAGAAACCTTAAGATTAATTGTATTAATTCAACAATCATAGTTTTAAAATTTTTATTTAAAACAGAAGCTTTCAATTACAACTGTAATCATCGTCAACTACATTTAGATGAAAAACACACAGCGCCAGTGGCGTATCCAAGGGGAGGGCAAATGGGCAATTGCCCATTTCATTTGGGGATTTGCCCATTTTAATTTTTATTAGTAAGCTTTTGCCCATTGAAATTTTACTTAGCAGATATACCCAGGCGGTTTCTTTTTGTATAACCCTTAGAAAGATATTTGTAAGAGTGCCTATAGACAGAATTGTTTGTTTATTTTTGAAATAGAATCTAATTCAAAAATTAAAAGGATCTCATTTCATTTTTTTGTGTTCTTTTTGGACCAAAAATCTTTTGGCCCATCGACAAAAACCTTGCCCATTTTGCCCATCGTTTTTTCCGATACAATAGAAGTTTGCCCATTGTACTAAAAATCCTGGTTACGCCGCTGCACAGCGCTGTGTGTTTTTCATCTAAATGTAGTTGACGATGATTACAGTTGTAATTGAAAGCTTCTGTTTTAAATAAAAATTTTAAAACTATGATTGTTGAATTAATACAATTAATCTTATCGTTTATCAATTTATTATCAACAAACAATATTGAAAAAGGAACCTTGTTCCTAGCGATTTGTGCGCCTGTGGGAGAAAGAGTCCGCTAGACACTTTCTTCTGGATTGCAAGAACTACCATGTACTCAGACAAAAAATGTTGTCTGATCTGCAGTCTATATTAGAATCAAATCCCACGCTTTCTGACTTGCTGGTGCTACCCAATCCATCATTAACCGATCATGAGCATGTGCGTTTTCTATAAAAAAATGTTTTTTTTCCTCTTTTTATCTTCTTTATCCCTAATTTTTATTTATTTCTCCTTCTCTTCTTCTCTTTTTTAATTGTCTTTTCACCCTGTGTTCTCTGTGTTTTTTTAAGTTATGAGTTTTTACTTGCCGCAGGCGCTATAATGATTCGATTGCTCCCCACGTTAGATAAACTACGTTTACATCAAAATTAGTCTGCAAAAGAATACAGTATATTTTTCGGAAGAAATGAGCCTATATAAGATTAAACAGAAGACTAAGACCATCTGTTCAACAGGAATTATAGACTTTGCCGAGACAAACGCATACCGTTCGGTTGCTACTAATTGAACTTAACTTATGACCGAATTCTTAGATCTATGTGAAAAACACCTATGGTTAAAATAGGTCATTGTTGTCCTGGGAGACAAAAATAAAAATAAATGATTTCTCTTTATACTGAGCTTTAATACTGGTCGTTATCGATATTCACACCGTTGGGTATAACTTATCCCAACAGAATACGGATTTCAATTACCTCTCCACTCTTGTTGCGGCTGTTGAGGAAAAATGACGGCCATTTCTTTACTTTCTAAAAGAATAAAAAGTCGTGAATGTTTGGCTATGAGGTAAAATGATCTTTATTATTTAATAGCTTATACGATAACATATATGTAACTCATAAATTCTAATCATGTGCAAATATATAGAAATCACATTCTCGAGTATATAACAACCGATGTGTATTCAAAGGTATATGGAAGACTTTTTTCTCATCAAAATCGCTCGTACAATAAAGCGTTTTCTTTGTTTCAGTAAGTTTTTTGTTTCTTTCATGATTACCACATAGTTGAGCGCGCCACATTTGGATGCAACGGCACTTGGGTGCATGTACGACAGAAATATTCAGTAAGAGTGCGCCCAAGTGTCGGTATACCTACAAAAATCTATTTGTTCTTTTGTTCAAAAGACCGAAATCTGAACTTCAGAGAACATATGAAACAAAATTTTTATAACTGAGTTTGAGTGAGAAAAAGTTTAAATACCAAATGTCACTCAAGAAGTTGTTGTACAGTGCTTTCTTCTTTAGTTCCTTACTATAGCCGGAAGAAAAGAGCTTTTCTGAAAATCAAAACGATCAGACTGTAGCCCCCACAAAACTCTATCGATCTCATTACTTTTGAAAATTTCTGAGTAATGTCTTAACAAAAAGGCCTATTGTAAAATCTAATTTCGATAGAAAAACATCAGACAGTGCATCGAGAAAATGTTTTTATTTATGGCTCAAAAGATGTTAGTAATAATTAAAACGCATACGAATTTTTAGAGAACTAAACGCTATTTTAGAAAATTTGTTTTTGGAAAAGAAATAACTACCTGGAAACTATTAATTAGATCTAATTAAATGTTTTCTTGAATTTCTACTTGAAAAGTAGATCTAACGATAATTTATTATACTCTATTAGTAGGAGCAACAAAAACACGTCTGTTTTCAATAAATACATAATTTCAAGCGTACTCTGTTATGAGGAAAAAAAACGTTTAATGAGAAAGATATGTTTGAGGAGTGTAAAAATTACGAGAGAGCTGTTCGAGTGACGTTTGATATTTAAATTTTTCCTCACTCAAACTCAATCACAAAAATTTTGTTTTATATGTTCTTTGAAATTCAGATTTCGGTCTTTAAAAGAAAAAGAAAAAGTTAGATTTGTAGCTTTTTTGTATCACGGATATAGAGGCTTAAACGTTTTTACAGGAACTTTTGCATCAGCCGTTAAGTAGACTGTATTACACCACGAGAACGCTTGAAAGTACAAAAACGCAGCTCTGACATCTTTTAATGGAACCGGAAGGAAAAGATTTATACCTATCGAAAACAAGTTACAAGGTTCGTCATTTTTAGTGCCTTTCAGTGCTCGCAGTGTAGAAGAGTCTACTTATATAAGATTATTTAACTCATAGATCGATTCCTTGACGGCTGATTAGAAAAGTCAAATTCAGCTATTTGTTGCTCATCACATGAAAGAATCCAAAAGTTACTGAAACAAAGAAAAAGTTTTATTGTGTGAGAGCTTTTGATGAAAAAAATTTGACGTGTAGTTGAAATACAGATCTTTTCGCAGTCCGTGTTGTTAAAATCGCGCCGTTCTGGACGATTACTTGCCATTAGCGATAAAATCGCCAGTTAATCGCAATTTAATCGTACATAAATTGCGATATACCGGCGATTTTGAACAACTGGTGTTTAATCAGCATGCATGAAAAATCGCCAGTCGTTAAAAATCACCGATATATCGCCATTCTTAAAGACATCACAAATTAATTATGATTAATTGGTGATTCTGGTGATTTTTCTGCTTTTTTAATAATCGTCAATTAATTGCAATTAATTGTTGATTTCGCTTTAAACCACGGAGCTCAGCCGACTGCTAAAGTAAAAACTGGCCGATTAATTGCTATTAATTGGTAAAATTGCTAAAATAATCGTGAATTTATTTCCAATTTTGACTACATGGGAGGCTACAAAGTGGTTCAGAAAAAGGAAAGCGGCACCTTTTCATAAACATAACAGTCAAAACTGTTTTGGGTGAAACTTTATCAAACAAAAATCGGAAACAAATAAGTCTTGACATTTCTTCTAGTTTTCTGTTCTTTGAAATAGAAAAGAGTTTGCTGCTGTTAGAGATATTATCTCACCCCTCACTATCTAATAAGCTCCCAGTGTTTCGAAAATTACCGATATGTCGTATGTTACTTGATGATTTATTCGTCTGAGAGCTTCATTGTTGTTTTATTGCTTAAATACAATCTGATGAAATGTGTGTAGGTTGTTATATTCTTGAGAATGTGATTATTCTACAGTCCCTCTATGTATTTGCACATGATTAGAATATATGACTTACACAAATATTATCATATAAGATGTTAAATAATAAAGATCATTTTACCGCATAGTCAAATATTCACAACTTTTATTGTTTTAGAAAGTAAAGAAATGACCGTAATGGTTTCTCAACAACAGCAACAATTCCAAGAGCGAAAAGATAACTGAAATCCACATTTTTTTGGGACAAGTGTGGATATCGATAACGACCAGGATTGGTGTTCAGCATAAAGAGAAATCATTTAATTTAATTTTGCTTCCTAAGATAATAATGATCTGTTTTAACCGTTGAGTATTTTCTATAGTTCTTAGAATTTGTTAATAAGTTGAGTTTAATTAGGTATCAATATTTTTGATTATCAAAACGTGCCTTTTGATCACCAAATTTATTCATTGCGAAATGATCATCAAAAAATAAGATTTATTCTTGTTTTTGTTGACACTAATTTCTTGCTTGGTTCGTCGACACTTTGTCTGTCTTGATTCGTCAACACTATGTTTAGAATGAATTAAGCCTGATTCTTGTTTCGTCGACAGCTTTTTTTATTCGTTGTAAAATATGGAATTACTTCATTCAATTATAGAATTTTTATGATTTTTCTAGTGATTGAACAAATAACAATTCAAAATGATAATGCATATAATATAGCCTTGAAAAAAATTTGACAAAAAGATTAAAACTTTTTAACATCTATTATTTTGGATATCATACACAAAAAGTTATTTAAATTTATACTATTTTGTTGATATCTATCTTCTAAATATGACTGTTGTGGATATACAAACAGTGAGAGCTGAAAAGCGAAAACAAGAACATAAACATGCTTTTGACGTATTAGATTCTCAACGATTGCTAACCATGGTCTAGCTGCTGGTCATAGGATAAACTTGAACACTGAAATTGTTGCTTTTGAATCTCAAGCAATAAAAAAACGGACTCGACCAAATGTCTAAAGTCTAATACGAGGACGCACAAAGCTTGTCCGGCTAACGGTCGCCTGTTTCGTTCTTTTTCAAAAAGTTATTGCAATATAGCTACAAACTAATCGGAAATTGCAACTTGATAATTAAGTAGATTAAACGTTTCTCTACAAAATGAAAAGTGTCTAGACTCTGAACGTTGATTCGTTATGAAACTACAGCTGTTGTACAAACAGCCCAAAAGATCGATTTGGGGGCTATCTGAAAGACATGCCTAAAAGAGTGGAGACGAGCAGGCGGAAATTGAACAATTATTCTAGAAAATTGTTTGATCTACAAGATATGATAGCTTTTCAAGTTCGAAACTATTTTAGTTAATCTGTATTAATCAAAGAAAGACCATGACTCTGTGACGCTTTTGACTGTTTTTTGTCACAGCGTCTTGGTTTTGACTATGGTACTTATTAATTTCTCTTAACAGCATTTTGAGCTCTTTTTTTACATATTCACTAACTGAACTGAACTGAACTGAAATTTATTTTTACACAAAGGTAGGATATCACAAAAAAGCACCAGAAGGACTTGTGGCATCAGAAGACACCAAATGATAACCTAAACTAAAAAGTTTCAATACATACATTGTGAACTGTGCTCTTATCTTTGCTTGTCATATTATTGCCAAAATATTCATTACATTTTTCTAGTAGACGCTGCTTCAGTATATCTTCGATATTATTTATGTCTGTTTGATTTGGAATTTAGTATTGTTTTAACAATGAAATCTTAATGAATGATGTTCCTAATGTTTGATATCGTCTATATGATCATATTCTTAAGAATATTAAACAATGTTTCTGGGCATACGATCTTACACCCTTCAGCTGAAATATTTCTGAAATAGTCGCAAAACTTGGCTTTCGATAGCTTTTAAAATCGTTCTCTAAAACCAAATGTTGATACAAGGCTCAGCATAATAGATTACCTATAATCCAGTCGTTTGCGAGGTCACCAATAATCACGGGCTACCAGTTCTGTGACTCCAAGGAATCCGATATCATACCCAATCCACTGGAAGTCCAGAGCAGGCTTGACTCCCATTTTAAAGAGGACATTTGGACTATCAACTCATGAAAAACAATCAATATAATCCTATGGGAATTTTTCGAAACACAACCGCGTTTTGTAGAGAATCTCTATAAAAGCCTATTTTAAGAAAGCCTTCTGGAAAGATTTCTGTTTATGGATACTTGACCCCAGATCTCGTCTTTCGCATGATGAAATCCATAAGTGTCGATCTCATTCCTGTCAAAAATTCTAAAAACATCCACGGGTCTTATATTTTGAAATGGATAAATGCAGCAGTTTTTGATTGAACAGTATATCAAAGCATCCGTTATCATACATCGCTCGAAAGAGACATAAAAACATGTCTAATGTCGATAATTAGATAATTTCAAACGTATTCAGTTATGAGAAAAGAAGACGCTCAATGAAAAAGTGACGTTTGAAGAGTACAGCTTTTACCAGAGTTTTTCTGCAGTGTTTATATTTTTTATTGCTTAAACTCACGTCAATCACAAATCTTGTCTGTTTATGTTTTTGAAGGCCCGACTTTGCTCTTTCAACAGACAGAAATTTATTCTGTAGGGTATGAGGAGCATTCGAAAATAATACTTGACATCTAGCCAATTTCTTTTAGTTCGTATGCTATTTCGCGTTTTATTCATATATTTATTTATTTACTTAAATCAGACCTATATTCCTCCACAAAGGCGC